CTCCTAGGGCGGTTATGTCAATGTGGCCTCGCAGCAAAGCACGAAGTTAGTGTTTTGAGGAGTAACTTTTGAGGCAGGCAGAGGAAACAGCTTCTTTAGTTTAACCTAGGTGACTGCTAACACTTGGGTTCACATGGCCATTCTCTGCCTGGGGGGTGGGGGGTTAGTATATCCAGATTTTATAGTTTTAAGTGCTTTCAGTCATCAAGATCAAAGGGCTTTTATACATAGCTCTTAATTGGATGGCAGAAAGCCACGTGCAGCAGATGTAAACAATTGGCTTGGCTTTCTGAGCCTGGAATTACAGACCAAGTAGAAGGACCTTCTAGTGGGATTAATCCTTTTCCTTGGGTGCCATCCCTAGAAAACAGGCAGGGCAAGAAACCTAGACTTCTTTAGCCTCATGTCTATGCCATTAAGACAATTGTGAAACAGAAACATCTCCTATATGATCTTCTCGGTGGTTTGTATAAAGGAATTTGTGATGGCCACACGAACAACACACATAACCATTAACTTGACAACAAAATGCTCAAAAATAATGCAATAAGAGCGATTTAGCAGGGTGGTAGTGGCACGCGCCTTTAATCCCAGCCCTGCACTCGGGAGTCAGAGACAGGTGGATCTCTGTGAGTTAGAGGCCATCCTGGTCTACAGAATTGGGTTCCAGGACAGCCAGGGCTGATACACAGAAAACTGTCTCAAACAAACAGAGCAATTTGATTATTGAAGTTTCATTTTCTCTACTTTCTCTACCTTTGGCTGGAGGTCATGGGGACCTCGACGTCCGACTGCTGCTCTGCTGCTCTGCTGCTGTTGTCTGCCGTCCTCTCGGCTTTCTTGCTTGCTTGAATCTGCTATTCCATGGCTTTTGATGACTCTAGGTTATGCAGATGCCGGTGTTGATGGAGAAATGCGAGGCTCTACCCTGATAGGAAACATCACTAGCTCGTTCTCCAAAATACTGTACCGTGCATGGTACTTTGAAGTCAAGTGATCTACGATCCATGTTTTATGGTGGAATAACCACTGTGACTATGAATAGAAGACATATATCTACCTTCTCTCTCACTGAGAAAACAAATTCAGGTGCTGGAAAAATGGGCTAGTAAGTGGATAAGAGCATAGAATCCTCTTACAAAGGACCTGAGTTCAGTCCCCATCAACCATGGTGAGCAGCTCACAACCCTTTCTTTATTCTAAATGCAGGGGATTTGACACCCACTGCTGGCCTCTGAGGGTACTGCACCTCTGTATACAGCCCTCCTCCCACAGACACATTCACACTTAATTTTAAAAATAAAAACAAAAATTCTTTAACTTTGTAATATCATCAAACTTTCTACATGAGTATAAAACTCAGAATAACACATACTATTGTTTCTGAGCTCACCACCCAGCAAACACTACAAAAAAGCACTTCTCCAGCCCTTTCTTCTTAAATTTCTTTTAGGAGTCTCATTTATCTCTGGCTAACCTCAAATCTGCTTTGTGGCTGAGGCTAGCCTTGAGATCCTGCTGCTACTTGCCTCCATCTCCCAAGCATGGTGATGGCAAGTGTGGGTTACTATGAAGCCTGGTTTCCTCCTACTCAGAATTTACCTGGGTAAGATGCTTCCTCACCAGCACCCTCTTTGGGTCTATAGCTTGAAACCTCTTCATGCTGTCTCCACAGGAAGACACCTGACTTGTCCCAGTCTTCCTTAGTCACAAAAGAAACACATTCAGTTCTTGGGTTTGACCAGGGTGTCAACAGGAACATTTGTGACCTATAGATAAGGATCTTGCTGTAATAAATCACCACAGGAGGCCTGGAGATCTTAAGAACTAGCTGCTGGGCCATTGAGGTGGCTGAGTTGGTAAAGGCTCTGACCGAGATCAATCTCCAGGTGTCACATGGTAAAAGGAGGGACACCACTCTGAACATTGTTCTCTGGCCACTGCGCATACTAGTGTAGGTGTGTGTGTGTGTTTATAACGTACACACAATCTGAATTTTTAAAAATTTAATATAAAAAGGAACTTTGAAACAGGACTGGGAAGGTAGAGGATGGAGGATCAGAAGTTCAAGACCATCCTCAGCTATACAGTAATTTCAGGGCCAGCTGGGACCACATGGGACACCCCCATCCACACACTTTTAAAATACGGCTGCCCCTTTTATTCAAGATTTTCTTCCAGGTGTAGAGGTTTAAGGAAAAGGGGAAAGACATTCATTTTAGTGTACAGTTTTTGTTGTTGTTTTAAATTCCAGATTCTAAGGGCAAGGGATGCTGCTCAGTCGATAAGGTTTTGCCTAGCATGTACCACATGCTCAACATCACATAATATGGGCAGTGGTACCTACATTCTTCATCTAGCACTGTCATCCTAGCACTCAGATGGCAGAAGCAAGGGATCTGAAATTCACGTTACCTTCAGTTAAAACAAACAAACAAAAACCAGAACTGGGTAGGGTGACACATCCTAGCACTCAAGAGGCAGAGGCAGGTGGGCCACAGAGTGAGACCCTGTTTCAAAATAAATAAATCAATCCAGGCTATCAAAAGAAAATTTCACCATACAAACAACAAGAGTTTGAGAGCCAGGTATAGTGGTGCATTCCTATAACCCCTTCACTCAGGAAGTGGAGTTAAGACTAAACTCAAGGCCAGTCAAGTCATACCATGACAAGACCAAGTCTTAACGAAACAAGCAAACTTCCAACACTTTTTAGCCTTTTTAAGCCAACAGAGCCACATGAAGGTAGTCTGCTTTCTGAAACCTGGCACATACCCCAAAATAAAACTATGTAAACTTTACAGACTTATACTCTGCAATTGTTTTGAAAGTCTACAAATCTAAGCATTTAATTTTTTTAAAAAGCCTTCTTTAAGGTCACAAGAGGTGGATCAATGGTCAAGAGTACTTTCTGCTCTTGCAGTCTGCCCGAATTCCAGTTCCCAGCACCCACAGGGTGCTCAAGACTTAAACTCCAGTTTCAGCATACACTTAGGCTCATGTAAGCACATATATATGACCTCTGAGTTGGCAGCCAGCCTGGTCTACAGAGTGAGTTCTAGGACAGCCAGGGCTACAAAGAGAAACCCTGTCTAGAAAAAACAAAAACAAAAAGAAGATTGTGAAAACAATTTTATTACCAACACTCCATACATTCCAGAGGTTTACAGGTTCTGTTGGGAAAGGGAAGACCAAGTACACTTTTGGCAATAACTAGCTAAGGAACTCCTTCAGTTTTTACATTTGGGAAAGTTACAAGTAGCAAAAGGTAGATTCCCCTCACCCTGAGGAAAAGACAGAGCCAGTGCCTGGTGACATCACAGCAAGGGGCAAATGGCTACTGAGCTTGCAGCAGCCAAGCATGTTCTGAAATTTCCTTGGGTCTTTACCACATACTGCACATATCAATCCCTTGATTGCACAGGCAGCTGCTGGTTTACAATGACTCAGGATCTGATTTTCAAACTTGTTAAATAAAAACTGTATTTGGGATTTTTAATATAACAGTTTCCCTAGAACAAGGAACCACATTTTAAACTTTTTCTCTGTAGTATCTAGGTCAGGTTAGCCTTGGATTTGTGGCAATCCTGTGCTGTGCAATCCTTCTGTACACTGTGAAGGTGTTGCTCTCATTCTTAATTGGCTGGCCAACAGCAAGGCAGAAAGAGGTTAGGTGGAGAGCCACACTGAGAGGTCACTGGGAAGAACGGTGGAGACAGCACCATTAGTAGCATACACCTTTAATTCTAGCTCTTGGGAGGCAGAGACAGGTGGATCTCTGTAAATTTGAAGCCAGCCTGGTCTACAGATTGAGTTCTAGGATAGCCAGGGGTACACAGAGAAACTTTGTCTCAAAAACAAAAAACCAAACAAGCCATGTGGTAGAGTGTAGATAAGAAATATGGGTTAATTTGAGTTGTAAGAGCTAGTTAGTAACAAGCCTAAGTTATTGGCCAAGCATTTATAATTGATGATCAGTCAAGGAGTCTGTGGTTATTTGGGAATGGATTGGTGGGACGAAAAACCCTGCCTAAAATCCTGCCTTGTTCTTCGGGTGCTGGGATTACTGGCATGGACCACTATGTCTGACTTGATTTAGAATACTTTTAATTTACAATGGATTTATCAAGATGTAATATTATCAAAAAAGAAAATGTGTGACACATCTGTGTAGCCAAGCAGTCACTTCTCTTTGTTTAACAAACGGAATCACTGTTCCTAGGTAACATTTCTGGTTAGGTTCCTGCAAGTTGCCAGTGTCTCTGTCCACATGCAGCCCTCTGTCAACACTGTAACCTGTGCACATCCCCTTCTCCTTAGCGCATGCTCCTTAGGCTGTGAAGCACTGGATGGCCACTTCCACAGGACCATTTTAAACAGAAAAGGCCAGAGAGATGGCTCAGTGGGCAAAGGCACTGGCTGCCAAGCCTTACACCTGGAGTTTGCTTCCAGAGAACCCAAGGGAAGGAGAGTGAAAACGACTGCAAGTTATCTTCTGGCCTCCACATGCTTGCTGTGGCATGTGTCACTAGTATGGAGAAGTAAAAAGGCATATTACAACTGCGAAGGAGGCATAGTCAGAACTGTACTGCGCGCCAGCTATTTTGAATGCCACGTATTCACCAGGTGGTACCAGCACTCAGGACGCAGAGGCAGGTGGATCTCTGTGAGTTCGAGACTAGTCTGGTCTACAGAGTGAGTTTCAGCACACTGGTCTACAGAGTGAGTTTCAGCACAGCCAGGGCAACAGATAAACCCTGCCTCAAAAAAAGACAAAATTACAATGATTTACCAAGTGACTCAATGATTTGGGGACATGAATACATTTTAGATGCAGACAGAGTTCTAAATACAACAACCTACACAATGCCAGGGCTGGCTGTACCCATTAATCCCCTCACCATAATTAGGCAGCTGCATGCAGAGTGGTACTGGGACACCGAGGAAAGGGACCAGGCTGCAACCCCCCACCCTGCCCCAACCTGAGGCCTCAAGAAAAATTTCCTCAAATGCCTGTCAAATTTATTCCTGAGTACATCAACCACAACTTTCACCTTTCTGAATGAAATAATAGCTGAAGCCACAGTTTATTATCACCCATGAATTTTTCCTGTATTAATTCCAAGACAGCATTCAATCTTTCCAAATAAAAAACAAGTTAAAAGTCACCTTATAACACAGTGGCCTTTCTGGTTCTATATGCACTTCAGGTGACAGCAGCAAGTGCTCCTAACCACTGAGTCACCTCTCAAGTGGCCCACTAGACTAAAATTTGCCAAAGAACACTCTGAGTCCCATGACTTTTATGACAAATCCATACAGACTTTTCAAATACACAAACAGACCCAACAACCATCCTCCAATGAAGTGTTAGCAATTACCTCACTTGGGCTGGAGCTCACATGCTCAGTGGTGAAAAGTACCAGTGCAGGGCTAGGGCAATGGCTCAGTGGTAAGTATACACTGCCCTTCAGATGTCCTGAATTCTGTTCCCAGCACACATGTTGCCTTCCTTAAATTCCAGAGAGATCTGGCGATGCTGGCCTCTGTGGACACTTGCACATAAGTACACAGGTGCACATGCTGTCCCCCTAACCCCACAGACATGCATACATAATTTATATAAAATAAAATATTTTCACCAGAGCCTTTAATTTACAAAACGTTGTTGTATGGACACAGATCACACAGGATCTAATCCTGTTCTCAGCAAAGATATTATTGTATGAACAAGACCAGGCATTTTAGCCTATCTTTAGACTTCACAATTGAACATTTATGTCTAACACAAAATATCAAATACATTTGAGTTATATCTTTCCCACAGAGAAATAGGCATAATAGGCAATTTAAACGCTACCCCAGTCTTCTAAATTCAACACATGAAACTGAAAATGGCATTTCCAATAATTTCAAAGTTACTGGAAGTGTACTGTCCTCATTTTCTTGAAAGGAACTTGGCACAAAAGGCAGCAGAGAGGTCTTTGTAAGGGGTCTCTGAATCCGACTTGGTTGGTGGTATCCGGCAAAGCTGGCGGAATCCAGGGGCACGGAGCAGTAGATTCTGGGAGAGGCCCATGAGGCTGGAGCATAGCCAGTAGAGAACAAGAGACTGCAAAGAATGCATGACAGTTAGCATCTTCTCCTGTACAGGGGAGGCTCACCCGCACCAGCAGTCAGTAAAAAACACTCCAGCACTCTGAGCAAGCTTCCAGATAGTGAATGGACCGCCTGGCCAGGCACAAAAGGCTGACAACACCAGAAATCAGACCGTGGGGTTTACAGCAGATATGACAGACAACAGGTTCCAGGCAGAGTCAGGAAGCACCTTCCCTTCTTTATAACTGTGAAGACTTTATTCCCACCACAGGTGCTAACAAGATGATTATACAGATGGATGGTGGAAGCCTGGGGATGCGGTCGTTTCCCATGGCAATCTTACTAGGCCTTATTTCACCTTTCATTTGCCAGTCTTTCACGATTCCCCAATAACTACTCTCTCCTATTCTCTAGGATATAGTTCATTTCTCAGGTCTCAGAAACAAAGCCATGTGGCAGGCAAGTTCTGCCTGGGATAAAGCTCTCTAGGTCTGAATCCTATTCACTATTATTTGGTTTTGTACAGATTATTTCTTTTGCTTCAGTTTCCTGTCTGTAAAATAGGACCGTTGCTATCCCCACCTTAGAGGGCTTATGAGAGAGCATTTGCACAGAATGGTTACCCACAGTATGTGATCCGTAGTAAGTATCTGCATTTGTTTAAGGTGAGACCTCAAGGGCAGTAGTGATGGGAGATGTCATTCTGTATATGTTTCTCATACTGGTTAATAATAAAGCACTGTTGGCCAATAGGAGAGGAAGATAGGAGGGACTAGGAGACAAGGAGGAAATAGGAAGTAGTAAGGAGGAGTCAAGATGGAGAGTCTGGAGAGAGCTGGACGCCAGCCGCCTCCCCGGTAAGAGAAGGCCATGTGAAAATACATAGATCAGCAGAAATGGGTTAATAATTAAGGCAGAGCTAGCCGATAAGAAACAAGTAACCGGGCCAACAGCATAGTATCAAACACAGAGTCTCTGTGTGTCATTTGGGGCTGGCGCGGTGGCGGGACAAGACCGGGCGGCGGCAGGCGGAAAAACAGTACACGTTACACAGTAGTAACACATCAAAGGCAGATTAGCACAGCAGTTACAGACAACAGCTGAACTACCTGGAAATATGAGTAGTTCACAGAACCAAATCAGTTGTCTGACTCCCCTTGCTTCAGGCTCCTCATCACTAAAGTAGGAGATGGTTTTTGTTGTTTTGTTTGTTTCTTTTTGAGACAGGGTTTCTCTGTGTATCCCTGTCTGTCCTGGAACTTACTCTATAGACCAGGCTGTCCTCAAACTCAAGAGATCCACCCACTTCTGCCTCCTGAGTGCTGGAACTAAAGGTATGTGCCACCACTCTGGCCCATTAAAGTGGGAGACTATAACAGTGCCTGCCTCACTGTATCACTGGGAGAACTACAGGGCAATATACAAAACGCATTGAGAGTGCCTGGGGCTGGCAAGATGGGCCAGCCAGTAAAGGTGCTTGCCACCAAACCAGATGATATGAGTTCAATAACTGGAAGCCATGTGGTAGAAGGAGAGAACAGACTCTAGGAGGCTGTCCTCTGACACGCACACATGTACCCTGGACACATGGAGTGTCTGGCATAAAACCAGGATGCCTAAGCATTAGGCAGGTGCATTCAGGGTCATGCTCGGATGAAGGGTATACAACACCCAATCTATAAGGGTTTCCAGGTTTTTTTCTCCCACTTTTTAAATGTGTACCCAGATAGAACTATAAGGTGCCATCTACATAACTCTCTTTTCTTGCTAAGAAACAAAATCCTGATTTTTAGCTGAGTATACTCACTGTGGAATAGTCATTTACACTGTGTTTGGTTTAATAAAAACAGCTAAACAGAGCTGGGAGGTGATGGTGCATATATTTAATCCCAGCATTCAGGAGGCAAAGGCAGGTGTATTTGTGTATTTCTGTGAGTTCGAGGCCAGTCTCGTTACTGAGCAAGTTCCAGGACAGCCAGGGATATACAGAGAAACCCTGTCTGGAGAAACAAACAAAAAGCTAAATGGCCAACAGCTAGGCAGGGTTTCTGAGGCAGAGAGAACCCTAGGAAGAAGGAAGAAAGGGTTAGCCAGTCAGAGGCAGAGAAAGCAGCATGGGTTAGTTTTAGTCATAAGAGCTAATTAGAAACAAGCCTAATCTATCAGCCAAACTTTTGGGAGATAGTTGATGGGACAGAAAAACTCACCTACATAACTGTGTCTAAAAATCCACTACATGTACTTCATAGACGCTTAAAGCTTCTAGATGTGACCAAGTAAGTAAGACACAGCACATTTATTTGGTAAGATATCTAGCAACGATCTTTAGAAGGACTATGTGTACTCGAAGCACCCTCTACCACTTCTGTGATGTGCCCTGCTCCAACGGCCATCTTGATGACTGTGGCCATGAGGGTAAATATCAGACTGTGTGTGATGGAGCAGAAAGAAGGGACACGGCTGTACTCTGGGAGTTGGCACATCATTCCTAAACTGGGCCTGTCTGAACTCCTTGCTGGAGATAAGCCTGGATATGTAATACACCTTTTCAGATTTGTTACTAACTCTAACCCAATCCTCGACACCACACTGCTCTTGTCTCTTGGGCTGTACTGCTGTGATTACATGGCATTTTACAGCAATGCTCCCCATGGGAAAGGGCTATAATACACAGTTTCCTGCTCACAGACATGAGGTCTACTTCAGAGATGCAGAAACCTATTGTGTACAGGTAAAAGACACTCACCCAAGTACCAGATTTATGATACACCTTTATACCAACAGATCCTTAAGGACTGTGAGCTTTGTAACTGCTCATCTAAACTACTGGTAACTGATTCTACTTCATGGTTTCATATTGGCCCCAATTAAAGATGAAAATGTACAGGACACAGCTTTTGACAACTTCTAAAGTTTATCTGTGGGAAATATACATAGGACTGAAGTAATTGTTCTTTTATTTCTTACAAAGCTAAGTATCAACAGGGACAAGTGAACCGAACTCACTGCAAAAGGTTAAGGAGCATCATGAATCCATATGGACTTCGCAGTGTTTTCTTTTTTATGTGCTATAGGCCTTGGTCCAGTTTATAAGGAAGTTGTTCAATGTATTAGCTAGTCCAAATAGGTAAGTACTAGACTATGCAAGGTGCCCTGTCAGATTAAAATAGAAGAAGGGGAGTAAAGAGTTGATGGGAAAGCTGGACACATCCACAGCAAAGATGAACCAACCAATCCCAGCAATGCTTGGGTGTTGCTGGATGATACAGACAACAGTTACACAGTCACCCTCAACAGCAAGGGTCAAGTGGGTAAGCAGAAGGATGCCAGGCTGTGCAAGCTAAACAGGGTCACATGCAATGCTACTGCTACTCACAGAAGGTACTGTTGCGGCAACTGGGATCATCAGCACGGATACAGCACGGACAAAGTTTGTAACATACATTTGAAAACGAGACATTCCAAGTTTTTGGAGAGCGAAAATCTGAAGTAGAACACACAAACCACAATTACTAAAGTGCACATTAAATCAGATAAACTTTAAATCACACACTGAAGCCCAGGTTGTGTGGTACACTTAAAATCCTAGTATTTGCATTGGAACAGCAACTCAAGGTCATTTTTGGCTTACAGACTTGTGAGATAGGCTACATGAGATAGTTTTAAGATAGGACTGGCCTGGAACACACTCAGTAGTTTAGGGTAACCTCAAACACTGTCTCTCCTGGGATTACAGGTATGTACCACCACAACTTGGTAAAAGTTAATTTTTGACTAGCCTCCACCAACACCTTTAAGGGCTGACATTGTGGTCAATGGCAGAGCACTTGACCTTAAGTGTACAAGGCTGTAGCCTCCATATCTAGCACTTAAACATGATTTCAACACCAATGAACTTACATAACTACCATCTATTTCCAAGGCTAGGATCAGTTAGGCTTTCTCTCTCTCTCTCTCTCTCTCTCTCTCTCTCTCTCTCTCTCTCTCTCTCTCTCTCTCTCTCTCTCTGTGTGTGTGTGTGTGTGCGTGCGCGCGTGCAATGTGGGGGCTGTGACTGAAAGGGCAATCCTGATGTTGCTATTGGTTTTGTGACACAGGCCCTCACTGTGTAGAGATCATATTGCCGCAACTCTCTAGGTGATAAGATTACAGACGGTGTCACCACCCCCTGGCAGCCTTGCACTCCCAGAGATTCATAATCTTATATGCGTTTTACTTTGTGTGCTACTTTCCCTTCCTTTAAATAAAGTAACAGCAATATAATCCTCACAAAGTTAGATAATTCATGTCAACTATCCAGAGAAACCCAGCACACAATACTGTTAAATTATAGCTTTTTATCAGGCACTGGATGACATTCAAACAAGATTACAGCACTGACAGGAATTCATTCTGGCCTTCTATTTATCACTCCTTTCTGTCTACCAAATAGTCACTGAACACAAACTGAGGAGCTGGATGCATGTGATTTTAAGAACATTTACACTGCACATGACATGTTTCCTCAATAAAATCTCACTGATGACTTTAGGTTTTTTTTTTCTTTAAAAAAAGTTTATGGAAGTTTTGCCTATACATGTATCTGTGTGCCACATGTGTGCCTGATATCCATGGGGTTCAGGGGAGAGTGTGAGGGCTGGAGTTGGAATTGGTTAAAGCTTGTTGTGAGAAGCCATGTAGATGTTGTGAACTGAGCCCAGGACTGCTCGAGAGCAGCCAGTGCTCTTAACCGTCCAGCTATCCAGCTATATCTCCAGCCCCATCTTTTGTTTTAAATGGGGACACACAGGGAACTCACTGTCGAAAATCACCTTATGTCATTCTTAAAGCCATGCCCCACTATGCCCAGTGCATCCAGTGCTGGAGTAGAGATCCCTGGGCTCATCAATACTAGGCAAGCATTCCACCAACTGAACTATATTCCTAGCACCAAGGCCTTAGAATTCCCAGACAGTGCTCATCTGATATGAGGTTTATAAGATTTTTATCTCAAAGTCTGAGCTCTCTATAAAATTAAAAGCATACTTTCAGTGCACTGTTGAGTGAAGCACTATGAAGCAACTGAAAAATCCTATTTTTCATGTGTGTATGTTATCTCATCAAAAAATTAAAATTATACTGTCATCTTTTAAGAGAAAGGCAGAGAGTTATTTATGGTTCTCTACCAATAAATTCACATAATAGGTATATAAAACCCCATTCAATTGTGGATTGAAACTAGACTGGGCAGGCATCTTAAATTTTTTTTTTTTTTTTTTTTTTTTTTTTTTTTTAAGACCAGTTCCCTTCATGTCTCCCTAAAGCTCTGGATGTCACTGTGCAAACAGGCTGGACTTGAGCTTGCAGAGATCTACAAGCTCCTGCCTTTTGAGGACTGGGATTGAAGGAGTACCAGCCACCCAACTTGGATTACTATCTCTCCCCCCCCCCCCCTTTGGCCTGGTTTTCTGAGATGGTGAAATGGTCTTGTTATGTAGCCTAGGATGGCTCTGAGTTTGTGATTCTCCTATCTCTGCTTCCTGAATGCTAGGACTAGACATGAGCAGCCGTGCCTGGCTTTAGTGCTCTTCCTTTAATAATAAGGACTCCGACACCAAGAGACATAAAGGATTGGCCCATGTCAAGAGCTGATCTGACATCAGAATTCAGAGGCAATGTCGAACAAAGCATATGTGTATGTGATGTTAAAGCAGCACAAGTTGCAGCAATCCCAACAACGTATATGGTCAACAGAGCTCACTGTAAACCACTGACCTCCACTATCAGTAAATTGACAACACCAACAGAGACAGGCAGAATCCAAGTGGAATCCATTGCAGTGAGGTCAGGAAACCACAGGACCCCTCCAGCAGCTAACTGCTCCTGAACAGAAACACCTGCTGAGACAGTTTAAACACAAAACAATAGGATTTATGAGAATAGCTTAGGGCCCAGAAGCACACAACCCGAAGATCTGCCCTGGTTATTCAAGCTACTTATATTTGTAATTATTTTTTTTTTTTTTTTGGGGGGGGGGTGTCGAGACAGGGTTTTTCTGTGGCTTTGGAAGCTGTCCTGGAACTAGCTCCTGTAGACTGGGCTGGACTCAAACTCATAGAGATCAGCCTGCCTCTGCCTCCCAAGTGCTGGGATTAAAGACATGTGCCACCACTGCATGGCATATTTGCGATTTTTTGTTGTTTTGGTTCCTCAACATAGACTGTCTGCGATTAAGATTCTAAATTCTATAATGTAAGAAATACAGTAAACAGTAGTTATGAAACTAGAATTGTTTTTTTTTTTTTTTTTCTATTGGAAAGCAATAATAAAGAATTTGAGAGATGAGGATTTCTATAATGGTTTTACCTTCTAAATGTGTCGTCCCTGTGCTCAAGTTCCGGAGGGCAACAGATATGAAGATCCACATTGGAAGCTGGACCCAGACTAACACAGTGGCTTTGAAAGGATGGCAGTTGTCACGAACATACAGCTCTGACACAAGCCTCCGCATATTCTTCAGATAGGTGAGCCTAAGATGAGGGAAGAAAGAGAACATCATCTGACCACTAGCACGAGCTTCACCTATGGCACACACCCCTTCTGTAGGGATGCTGAAGGGTTCAACAGGGGTTTCAACCATCCTAAGCAGTTAAGGGGAAGGCACACAGCCTTTCATTAAAGTCAGTCAGACTACAACTTTAGTCTCTAATGATCTCTGGCCAGTAAGATTTTTAAAAAACATTTTATTTATCACATTCTCTGATTTATTTGTGTGTGTGTGTGTGTGTGTGTGTGAACACTGACAGTCACATAACTAACTTATCTCAAACATCTGTATTTAATTCACTGCCATCTTTATCTGATCATGGCTCTCTTTTCAGTGGGTCCTCCAGAATAGAAGTCAGATGTGGCAGCACATATCTGTAATCCCAGTATTTGTGGGGGGAGGAGGGGAGAGCAATGGAGATGAGGGGTACTGGGAGGCTGAGATAGGAGAATCATTCAGCTCTTTGGGAATTAGGGTATAAAGCCTGTTTCTTTATGTGTTTTCATTCCAATATATAAAACATGGTACACGGTGATTTATTAGTATGAATGATATGAATGAACAAATCTGAACATTTACTTATAAATTTCATGATTACAGGCATAAAACTGCATACCTGGCAACTCTCTTGGACCAACCAAACTGATGTGCACGGACCGCAACTTCTTGGTTAAGGTGCTTGGCAATGTTTTTTATTTCTGGTTGCAAGTTTTCCACCTAACTAAAGAAAAAGTTGTTTTTATGAGCATATAAAGGATCTCTGTTGAGAACCACTGCTATCTTAGTTTCAGATGTCGACTCAGCACATCCAGGAGAGAAGAGCTCAGTAAGAAATTTTAGGTTAGCCCACGAGGTTTGTTTTTTTAATCACTAATTGACACAGAAGAACCCAGTCCACTGTGGGCCGCCATCCTCTAGGCATGCGAGCCTGGGATATATAGAAAAGCCGGTAAGCAGTTCCTGTTTCAGTTCCTGTCCTGTTGTGCTTCCATGGTGGACCATGACCTGAAAGTCAAGTAATCCCTTTCCTCTCCCCGTTCTGCATTAACCAGTCTCTTTTCCCTCAACTATTTACAAGTGATGTTTATGATCACATTTGTAATCAGAAAAAATGTAAGCAGAAGATATTATTAGATATTTAGCTCGCTTAAAACATCTTTAGTCACAAACGTAAACTCCAGTTTGTTACACCTATCTGAGCAACCATACTGATTTGCACAAACTGCAACTTCTTGGTTAAGGGTTGCTTGGTGTTTTCTATTTCTGGCTGTTCATAACCTCTGAAATGGCACCTACTTCACAGGATTTTGAGACTTAAATGAAAACTTAAATGAAAACCGGATCTTACTGTTTTGTCCTTAGATAGGCCAGTAGTAGAGAAAATAGCACTCTAATTGGTAAGTTTAAATCCCAAGGATTCCCACTGTGACTACTTAGCGCCATTGCTGCTTCCCTTCCTGGCAATCTTCTGTGAAATTTCATCTTCTCGTACTGACTTAATCTCACATCCCTAGGTAGCCAAGGAAAGACAATGCTATACCGATTCTACAGGGAAAAAGTGAAGCCCTAAAAGGCCAAGTCAAAGTCACAACTTAACAGACACAGGGTCATATAGATCGTAGGCTGTGAGTGACAATCCAAGTCCGCAAAACGTTAACTCAGTGAATTCTTTCTATTAATAAAGAGGTGTAAGAATAGTTAGGGACAAATAATGCTGCAGACACTGTTAAAACGTTTATGTCACTACTAATGCTACCGGTTCCTCAGTGCCATTTCTTCTGCAGACTGATCTCAATCGAAAGTTTAGGAAACACATGTATTTCATATAAAGACCTAGTGGGTCGGGTGAACCGGAAGGTACTCGAGTCACTAACCATTTAACGCATGCAATACTAATTACTTTAGCCAAGCAGCAGCCTCGACGGTCAACGCTAGCTGGAAGGCGGCACGGGGACCGACCCCCCTCACCTTAGCCAGGATGTAGTGCTGATAGGCGGCCAGGGGCAAGGTGACAGCGCCGCGCAGGGCCACGGTGCTGAGCACGATGCTGCCCCACCAGGGCAGTCCCGTAGCGGCGTGCGCTCCTAGCAGCACTTCCTCCGCCGCACGCACGGGCGCCGACGCTGCCAGGGCCTCATACCATCCGCCTGGAGCGGCCGCCGACAGCGACGCGGCCGCCGACAGCGGGAGGGCAGGGAGCCGCGCGTCACTCCAGCCAGGCTGCAGTTCCCGTGCACGGAGCCTCAAGGTGGGCAGTGACCGGAGCCACCCGGAACCCGGGCGCCACAACATGCCAACGCCACTGCGAACGCCGGTTATCACGGAGACCCGGGGAAGGACCACCCGCAACAGGAGGGTGTGCGCACGCGCCGGTCCGCGGCCACGCCTGACCTTCCCAGCCTAGGCGCTGACGTATAGAGTCGCGCTAGAGATGACGCACGAACTTAGGCCCCGCCTTTCCCACGCGGCACTGGGCAGGTAGCGGCTCGCACAGGACTCCTTTCCTTGCTAGGGTGGAACTACAAGCAATCGGAACCGGAACTGCGCGGGTAGGCGGGGCAAGGAAACCGCTTTGCTGTTCTGAGTTTCGGTTTCCTCCCAAGAGAACTGAACTTGTGTACTTTTTGTGAACCGGCTGCTTCCGCTCGGGACACGCATAGCATGTACTTCCGTCTCCACGGACTGCTGAGACACCTGCTTGAGAGTAACGAGTATTTCTGTTTTGCGCAGTGTTAAGTCTGCGTACTTTATTCCCTAGGCACAATTCTACGGGATGTAAGATTTAATCTGTTCGGCTAGCATTGTATTTCTTGATAATCCAAGAGAATGCAGAATGCAGGGCATGGTGGTGGCGCACGCCTTTAATCAGGTCACTCGGGAGGCAGTAGGATGTCTGCTGTAACCCAGCCAAAGCTACCAAACAATTACCATCATAATAGCAGAAAAAGATACAATGGAATGCTCAGGGCATATACGAATTGCTTGAGTTTTCCAGTTTTGAGTTCCTAGCTACAGCAAATAATTGGGGAGAATTTTGAGTTCTTTAAAACCTCTCCCATGTTCGGTAACATCAAATGGTCAATCTTGTCCCCTACTTCACTGCATACCTACTAAAGGTAATGGATAACTTCTGGAATTTGGGTCAGCTGCCTTCAAAACTAACCATGAATCCATAAGTAACATTTTTTTTTGTTGATGTTGCTTGGCTCCTGTATCATAATCCCCTTTTCTAAAACAGTTTACATATCTCTTGCTTAATTAAGAAACCAGTTGTTATTGCCTACCGATTTTTTGTTTTTGGAGACAGGGTTTCTCTGTGTAGCTTTGGAACTTGCTCTGTAGGACCAGGCTGGCATCCAGCCAAGACATCTGCCTGCCCAGGGCTGGCCTGGAACTCAGATACCTGCCTGTCTCTTCCTTCCAAACTCTGGATTAAAAGCATGCACGACTACTGCCCAGCTATTGTTGACTGATTTAAGGTGAGAATCAAGCCACATATGTATAAAAGGTGTAAAGAAGTGAACTGTTTCCCCATTCTCCTCCCAGAGAAGCAGTAACAAAGAGTAGGCCCTTCCAAAGTGCCCTTAAGGCATAGAGGGAAGTTGTTAAAACAACACAACCCTCCCAAACCCTAATCTTAGCACATGAAGACCTAGAAGCAATTCTACACTGGGAACCTAAATAAATCCTATTTATGGTAAGCATAAATAACCCTTCTATGTATAAATAAGCCTGTTATTTGTCCACAAACCCAAAATGTCTATAACTCCAGCTCTAGGGATCTGACACCCTCTTCTGACCTCTGAGCACCTGCATACACATAAAAATAATAGAAAAAAATCAATTAAAAAAACCCCATATAGTATGATGTGAAATTAAAATTTATTAATATTTAATTAATGATGATTCTGCATATGGCTTGTGGGACCTTTGTAGTAGTCAGTCCTCTCCATCCACTTTTACCCAGGTCACATTTGTGTAACAAGACTTTTACCCTGAACCATCTATCAGACCATATTTCTTTTTAAAGCTTTCTAAACTCACCTGTTTATCACATGTTCATGTGGGATGTGGGAGGAAGAAACTCATGTGGGATCAGAGGGACCACCTTAAGGACTGCTTACCTTTTTATAATGAGAGTTCTAAGGACTGGTCTCAGGTTGTCAGACAATCTTGGATCTCTATATATAACCCAGGCTGACTCTGTACTGTAGGCAACCTCATGCACTGGTGACAGGTTAAAAAAAGCAGGGTTAGAATTTGAGGCCAGGTTTGCCACAGATCCTTCTCAAAAGATCTAAAAATGTAAAAGTGAGGGGCCACTACTTGCAGTAACCCCTCCCTTTGTAACAAATAAAGTACATTTTCTTCTTACAAATGTTTTAAAGATTTTAGTATTTGGTGTGTGTTTTGCCTCCATGTTTGTGTATATACAGCGCCACCTGTCTGCCCAGGGCTCTCAAAGACCAGAGATTCCTTGGAATTGGAATTAGTTTCCAGCCTCCATATGTATGCTGGGACTCAAACCCATCTATGTCCTTTACAAGAGAACAAGTACTTTTAATTCTCAATCCAATCAGAATTTGCTATCTATCTGAAAATGTCAGAGAAACTACCAGTAAGTACATCATAAACTTCAATGCAAAAGTAGTGTTGTAACTACTGTGTCCTTTCAAGTTGTACATTGTAATATAAAATGACCACACTATTTAGAAAGCACATGAAATCATGTCAGTCCTAACAAGGCAAATGAACTCTTGTGCAATACATTGTTTATTTTAAAAATCCTCAGTATTTGCAATCAACCTATACAACTTTGCATCATTCAACTTTTCTTTCCACTCAACTTTTGAGTTCCTTGAAGAGACGTCTTTGGGGCAGGAGAGATGGCTTAAAGGTTAAGAGCACTTGCTGCTCTTCTAGAGAACTGAAGTTAAGTTCCTAGCACAGCAAGCAGCTCATAGCTACTTGTAACTACAGCTCCAGAAAGTCCAACACCCTTTTCTGGCCACAGACACCTACACGTTAAGATACACACACAGAATAAAAAAAAATGAATTTTTTTCCTGAGACAGCTAGGTATGGTTTGAGACCACCTATTGAGTTTTAGTCTAGTCTGTAAAGAGCAAGATTTTGTCCTAAAAACAAGGAGGGTACAGTGGCACAAATACCCATAAGAAACATGAGCTAGCGGATTGCTATACTGTCGTAGGCTTCCCCCTCCACACAAATACTAGATGGTCCTTGATGGCTCTGGTCACTGTAAAGGAATTCTGTCCAGGCCAACAAAGTAACTGCTCTCTATATATTTACCAAACGTAAGTAATGGTATTTCTGCATCCAGGATGTATAAGAGAAGTTATAAGTTAAGATGCTCTCATCTGAAGGCAGCTGAGTAAGCCAACTGCTGCAACCCTCAAACAACATCAGTGAGATGTGTACTTCCCAAATGATCCAGGGGCATTCAACCCCAAATACAGAAAGCATGAACATTAAAAATATAAGATACCTTGACAGATAAACTTACACAAAGTAAAATTAACTTAATTAGAACCAATGAGCTGTCCTTGACTTCTTAATTATTTCAAAATCATCCTGACTCTTAAATTTTGTTACTTAGAAAATTTTGAAACACTTTAAATGTTCTAAACTATTAGACCTGTGGGAATGAGTGCTCTTTAAGAATTATCAGTGAGGGCCAAAGAGATGGCTCAGAGGTTAAGAGCAGTGGCTGTACTTCCAGAGGTCCTGAGTTCAATTCCCACCAACTACATAGTAGGTCACATCCATCTCTGTTGCCCTCTTCTTGCTTGCAGGCAAACATGCAGGTGGAACAGCATACATAATAAATTTTAAAAAAAGAATTATCATTGAAAGAAAGAATCAGAGGACCAAAAGAGATTTTGTAATTCTGAGAATCCAAGTGAACAATATAGTGCACAAAATATTTTCTTTCTTTCTGCAAAACAGGGGTTTCTCTGAGTAGCCTCAGCTGTCCTGGAACTCATTCTGTAGAATAGGCTGGCCTTGAACAAGATCTACCTGCATCTGCCTCCAAAGTGCTGCTATTAAAAGCATGCACTCCCACTACCTGGCAAGAAATCATTTTTATAAAGTACATATTTAAGTAACTCATGCAAAAGACAGACTACCATTTTCTGTGAACAGATGAGATGGGGTTACTGAATACTTTCGTTGTTTTCCCAGAGAACAAATATTATTTACCACTAAAAATTATTTTATAGTAATAGGCCACAGAGTCCCCCCCCCCCCCTCCGGAGAAATGCTATTAATTGTTGAATGGCAACAATGAAGACCCTGTTACAGTTAACAAGACCTATATAGAACTATATAGACCAGGCTGGCCTCCAATTCACAGGTATCTACCTGCATCTACCTCCCCAGGGCTGGGATTAAAGACATGAGCCACCACGACCACGCAACAAGGTTATTTCTAAAGTAGAATAGCTGGTACACAGATCACACAATAACTGGGGATGTTAGCTGTTTAGAAATGGAAAAGGGACAGTTCTGTAAAGGCAACTCACTTCTGAAAGAAAAGCACACTATGTAGTCTGCAGAGATAATCACATACTTCAAAAGGAAAAAAAAAAAAAAGACCTGCATGGTCTCAAAAAAATGTTTTTATTGTTTAAATAAAAATGTTCTATATTACATCTGAAGTATAAAAATGTATTTAAAAAATGTTCCTAGTACAAACTTCTCATATCATGGCACTGCCCTTTACAAGCCCGATCTCTAAGTGTAGAGATAGAGGGCTCCAATCTACTTTCATGGTCCACATTTTAAATTCAAGAAAATGGTCAGTTTTTTGCCCTTCTTTATTCAACACCACCACTCACATGCACAGTACATGCTGAGTAGTGTCTGTTCTCCAATGGGATTATTTCAGATATGAAATAACCCTCATATTACATAAAGCAACTGTGGGAGTGGGTAAGACAGACCTGTGCAAAATTCAATACAAAATGTTAAACAGCATCACACAGGGTTTTTTTTTTTTTGTAAAGTGCTGGAATTTAAACTCATGGCTATATTTGTAGGTTGTTCTCCTCCTAATTTGGGTGTACTTATCATAAGTGGAAAAGCAATTGTCTTACTTAAGTAACATCTCCTAACTGAAAAGACAAGTGCACCATTTACAAACTGCTGGGTAGGTTTGAGAAACCAACCTTATACATTCTACTCAGGTCACTAGAGGCAAGTAATCTCCTCATATACTCTGACAACCAAGTAATATTATCAACTCTAGGTGGTGTTAATAAGTAAGCTTT